AAGATGCATACCATGAAGCTTTCCACTTAGGTTTTCTCCTAGAAGTTTAACAATGTCAGTTCTTATCTGTAAGTTTTTAATGAATTTTGAGTTGACTTTTTTTGTATAGTGTAAAATATAGGTCCAATTTTATTCTTTTGCATGTGGGTATCTAACACCATTTGTTGAAGACACAGTATTTACCCAATTTCATCTTTTGTCAAAATCAGATAACAATGTATGTGTGGGTTTATTTCTAGGCTCTTTATCCTGACCCATGAGTGTATATGTCTGCCATTTTGCCCAAACTTAGACAGATTTTTTAGTGTGTTTTATAGCAATAGACCTATATGAGAGTAATTTCTTAAGATTTAATACTAATAATTTGCTTTATCAATAATCTGCACCAACTTATACCTTTGAAGTGAGGGAATCACAAAAAAAAAAAAAAATAGTTGACTAGTGTTGCTCAGCTACTTTACTTGATAAAGCATGAATAAGAACCCTGGCCATGTGAGAGCTTGCCCAATGACTTCTACCACATGACTGACCACTATTTTATATGATTAGGAAAAAGTTACTGTAATTATAGTATATTGCAAATTTTTCCATTCTTCTGAATATAATTTCATAATTAAAGTATAAAAATAAAAACAGCAGATGGGAGAGAAAAGGGAGACAGCCTGCTTCAGCAGCATTCCTTGGACAGCTGGACAAGCAGACTGTGGGAACTGGAGAACAGTGATCAAATTGCTAACAATGAAGTCACCAATCAGTCATAATCAATTGAATGTAAACCCCAATTTTGTTCATATTTCTCATGAACCTAAGTCCCTTTCTTATTTTTGTGAATGAAATACCCAAAGGCCATATTTTTGAGTAAAACAGACTGGAAGTTAAAGATTTAGAAATTCCCTTTTATCTCAATATTTCCCTGTGTCTTCAGTCTCATCTATATAATTTATACCACCCTCCCCTATATAAAAATTAATATTTTTATAGTTTGGAGACAATTTACTCTTTGCTTGTTTACTGTGTAGTTTACTTAATACAAATAAATTCTAAGGGTCCTATTTGAATGCAATTTGAGATTTACACATTACTGTGATAAAGGAGAAAATTAAATTCTTGTATCTAAAGAAAGTGACAAAAATTTGCATAATGTATAAAAGAATAAAAGGTAACTAGTCACAGCCAATTGCCTAATCCTAAGATTTGTAGAAATAAGTTCTTTTTCCTATATTTGATATAATCAATCACTTATTTAACAAAATCTATAAAATACTTACTAACCACATTAGGCAAGATACTCTTAAACTTATAAATGCAGACTAAAACAAACAAAAAGCTGAAAGATCCAAAAAAATTCACAGTGGCTTTAAATGAATTGCTAAACTCAAGTAAGATTCCTATTGTTAAACTAAATGGCTATGGACATGTAAGAACATGGCAACTGCTTGAGAAAAGTTGTTGATAAAAATGGCAGAAATGGCAGGTCTGAGAAGAAGAGGCAAAGTAGCCTAAAAAGTATGGGAACAAGGTAGATAACAAATCAATAGATGTGCACACTATATATTAAGGAAAGTTCATTGCTGGGATAGACATTGTCAAGCCATTAGGGTCGATGGAACAAATCCATTTTCTAAACTGGATACTAGGAATGATAATAATAATAATAATAATAATAATAATTAAAATATCAGCTACTGTATAGTATTTACTTAATTTACTTAAACTTCATGATAACATGATGATTTAGTAGTATTCTCCAATTTTACCAATGAAGAAATGTATGTTTTTTCTGGTCAAGCCATATGTCCAAAACTGTAGCGTTAATAAATCATAGAACTCAGACTCATCTTCAAGTCTTTTCATTTAATCTATAATATTCACCACTTGTAGATGTATAGTCATACTTTTGAGATTGCTTAAGAACCATTAAATCTGTGGTGTATGAATAGAGATGGGACAAATAAATCCTAAAGCAGATTAATAAATATTAGAATGGAAGAAAGGTGGAGAGTGGAATCAGACTCTTGCAAGACTCAAGCAGTCATATTTGTGAATTTCTATTTTTTTACAGTTGAATAGAAGATTGTATTTCTTCTCAAAAAATATTTTTTGCTTCCTTGTATGGTAAAATAATCTCTAATGTGTTAGTGTTAGCAATGCTACACATTAATTCTTTTACAATGCTACACAATTCTTTTTCAATAATCCACAATCCCTGAACTGCTCCTTTGCCTTGCTACTTGGCAACAAGTTCTTCATTAGTGCTCTTTATAATGCAAAGGTCATGAGAAATAATTTACAAGAAGTCTACCATGGTAAACACAAACAACTCTATTTTGATTCAGAATACTAAAAATCTTATTTTCTTACAGCGATCTAGATAACACACAACAAAATAAAAGCTTTCCCTTGGATAATTAAATGTTTTTATTCAATTATCTGATTTAGCTGTCGAAGCACTTAGGAGAAAAAAATCCTTCTGCAATGCACAGAGAATAGATGTCTCAAAATGGCTAATGAATAAATCAATGGTTGAACAAACGTATTTTAAAAAGGAAGTATTTACTTGGTTAGCCTCTCAGAGCACACTTGAGATAACACAGGGTCTTTTTTTTTTTTTTTTTGATTAATCAAAGTCTTTATATAGCAAAACTATTATTTATTAAATTGTGTCTTATTTTACTGCCTGTATGTATGTATGTATGTATGTATGTATGTATGTATATATGTATGTATGAACCAATGAGAAATTATGGTAGCCAAAATAAAAGAAAAAAGAAAAAAAGGCTATTGTGGTCTTAGGATGGATTAAAACAAGCATCATAGAATCTAGTGGAGGAGGTAATTCCATTTTTTTCTTTATACCAATCAGATGATATGTAGAGTGATGCACAATATGTGGGATAAAACTTGATTATCATAAGGATTTTTTTAGCTATTGTAAAAAAAGAAAAGGACATAGATAGAACAAAAGGAAAGAGAGGGTAAGGCTCCTGAAATTACATCACACACACACACACAAAATAGAAGGTGGTATTTGCAATAGACATCTTAATGAAAGATCTATTCACTCTGAGTTAGACTCCAGGGGAGGGGCAAGGTTAAAGAATAAAGTAAATCATAGGGATATCTGAAGGAGTAATTGCTTTCTCTTTGTGCGTGGTGGAAAACAGCATGACTCCTGGCAATGGATAAGGCATTTGGGTTCTCAGGAACACAAGGCAAGTGGAGAAGAGAAGAACAAAAGTGTACAAACGCAGTAAAGAGCCAAAAGAACGGATTGTGGAAGGCCTTGCTCAGGAGTTTTACTTCATGCTAGTAAAAAAGCAATGCATGATCGTATTCTGAGAGTAAAATGATCAGATTCCTGTTTCAGAAACACAAAACAGTGCAAGGGTAGTGGCCAGATCATATGACCTAGAATTAAAAGCAAAGAATCTTGTTTGACAGCTCCAGATAAGGAAAGGTGAGGGCTTAATCAAGACAGGGTAAATATGTTGATTTCAGTTACTCTCCTTGTTCTCAATAGGGAAGAGAAGTTAAGGGAAAGATGAAAACTTTTATACTGTGTCTCTCTTTAGGAGTGAAAGTGTGACATTCAAACTAAAGAATAACTAAAATACAGTCTTCCATTTTAATTGTGCCTGCATGGAAGCCAGATTCTTCTACCATATCTGCTAGCTAAACTTATGTGATATTGGGTACCAGATATGTCCCTATTTTACAAAAGAATGAGCAACATCAGGAGTTCAACTTTTCTGAAGGTGATATGCTCAATGCTCTTGTCATGGGGAGGGGGGCACCTAATTACATTAATCAAAACAAATTCAGTTTCTCTCCTCAGAGATCAGTCAGTACACCTTGACAAGGTAATAACATCTTTTTGTTCCTATCACCTTTTTCCGCACTAGGTTGGGCTCCTTTGTTTCTGCCAATTCCAGGTGTTCATTTCATGTAGCTCAGCATTTTGTCTTATTTCTTAAGTGTTTCCAAAGTTTCTTAAAAGTTTCTATAACTCTTTTTTAAAATTTTATTTTTTTTAACATTTACCTTCGAGAGAGAGAGAGACAGAGAGAGATAAGAGACAGAATGCAAGCAGAGAAGGGGAAGAGGGAGAGGGAGACAATCCAAAGGATGCTCTAGGCTCTGAGCTGTCAGCACAGAGCCTGATGTGGGGCTTAAACCCATAAGCCATGAGATCATGACCTGAGCCAAAGTTGGACGCTTAACAGACTGAGTCACTCAAGCCCCCCAGTTTATGTAACTCTTAATCTACAAATATTCTAATTTTTGTAATTATCAGTAATTCAGGCTATTTCTTCCTTTGCACAGATCTGATTTTATGAAGCATAAAAGAGTTCTTATTTAAGACCTGTTTCCTTGGTTCAGTCAACTAGTATTTGTGCTGTCCCTAATTTCTGGTAAAGTATCATTTTTTTTATTTTTACCATTTAGAGCCTGCCCATAAAACTTATCAGGAAAAGAAGAGTCTCTGAATTTACTGCCTATTCTTATTTTAAAATTGCTATCAATGAAATTAAGTCTTAACTACTAGATTCAGTGCTACCTAATTACCCATTTCTTCATTTTATAACTTTAGTACATACAATTTTATTAATGGAAATTCAAGACATTCTAATTATAACAGGACATGTAGAAATGCCTATTTTTATCAAGTAAGCTGAGAATTATAAAAGCATATCAATATATATTAGTTAACACCCTGCTTACTGGATGTGAAACAGTCAGTACTTCTAATGAATGCCGTTGTTTGATGGGGATTTATAGATTCTTTTTTAGATTCTATGGGGACAATCCACAAATTCCTCTATAATTAATGTATTCTAAAAATTCTTTCTTTTTCGATATTTACTTCTCTAATCACAGAGTTTACATCTCCTCAGCATGGAAATGTGGTTTCAAATATGTCATCTTAATATTTTCCCATTATCATATTTTTAATTATAAATAGTTGCCATAATGTTAGATTACTTTTCAACTGTAAAACAAAAAATATGGAGCGCTTCACAAATTTGCATGTAATCGTTGTACGGGGGCCATGCTAATCTCTGTTATCATTCCAATTTTAGTATATGTGCTGCCAAAATGAGCGCTACTTTCTCATTATTTAATGTAAATATGGTGATGGATTATCTGCAGGGAAAGCACTCCAAGAAAAGAGAACATGTTATTTGTTGTTGAAAGACTCTGAAATAACAAAGACAAAATATGTTACTGCACAATCAAAATGGGAAACAGAAGAAATGTGCGGTAGAAGAGAGGACGGGGCAAAGACACTTATCAGGTAATGTGTATTTTCTGAGGCTCTGGCACCAGCATTTTACTAACACTTTATAATCCAGTTTCACCATTATAGCAAAGATTTTCTGAAAAACCTCATTTCTTTTTTTTAGAAAAGGATTAGAAATATTTAAATAATAGGTATTCCATTGATTAGTGTCAGATATTATCAGATATATCCAAAAGAAATATTTTAAAACTTCATTGCTTCATCTATAAATATTTTGTTTCTAACAGATGTAGTAACCTAAATACCTACTATTTGAATATTAATAGATCAAATAAGAATTAACATTTTATTTATTTTCCTGGGTATTTAAATATAGTCTAAGTAATTTAAGTTAGAAGGCATACATTCTCCTTTATTGTGTTAATGTTTCCTTTAACAAATTCTTAATTTTCATATAAGCTAGATCTTCTCTGAAATATTTTTTTCTTCCAGTGTTTCATTTTTCAATCTTTGTACCATTTCCATATTGCTTAAAATATTGTATGAATTGCAGATAGGCCACTTCTCTTAAGTACGCTTTTGAAATATTCTTGTTATTGTCAACATTAACAATATTCCTTTCACAAACCCCTTAGCCCCATGAATGGTGTTGAGGTTAGAGATGACCTAAAATTTTTAAGTGATATATATTTTCCAATTTTAAAAACTCTGAATATCTGTGAAAAACGTGGGACACAAGAGTTTTAAACATGTTTTGCTATACCAAATGATTGCAACTGGTCTTCAGCTCCTTTTAATCTCTGATTATACTACTACTGCAATGAGCTTATTTCAAGAGTACAGATGTAAAAGGAACTATTAGTGTATTTTCTTAAACCTAATTTTGTACATTACATAAGTGATTACAAAGGATACACACGGGGCGCCTGGGTGGCTTAGTCAGTTAAGCATCCGACTTTCGCTTAGGTCATGATCTCGCGGTTCGTGGGTTCGAGCCCCGTGTCGGGCTCTGTGCTGACTGCCAGTTCAGAGCCTGGAGCCTCTTTCAGAGTCTGTCTCCCTCTCCCTCTGACCCTCCCCTGCTCACGCTGTTTCTCTCTCTCTCTCCTAGAAATAAATAAAAATACTTAAAAAAAAAAAAAGAATGGCGTATTATACTTTAAAAAAAAAAAGAAAACAAAGGATACACACATATTTCTTCAATTTTTTCAATCATCTATTGTAATTATCAATTATAATTCTAGAGTCTATATATTTTTTGAGATGAACTTTTTCTCTTCTGAATTAGTGAATGTGTTATTTTGTCTCTTTAAGTGGTAACTCCCTAAATTTGACTTGACATCTTTATTAGTTTGCCTTTTCTCAACTAATCTGGGGAATTTTTTTTTTTGCATTGTTTTGGTGTTTTCCAATATGTGGCTAAAGCATATTTTTTCAGCATTCTTAAGGTTTCCTGAATTAGTCTTAGAAATGTTTTTTTAGCAACAGACTCAGTTCTCTGAAAGAACATTTTTGAGGGTACATAGAAAGGGGATTATTTTGGATGACAGTCCAATCCAGGGTGGGCTTTTTGTTACAATGTTTTTCAAAAATATGTGAATATCTACTAATTAAAAAAAAAAAGCCTCAGACTGAGGTCTGTTTACTTGCTTATTGGTTTATTTAAAAAAAAAAAAAAAGGTTTGGGGGATAATAACTTCTTCAAAGTGAAGTCCTGATTTAGCACAAAACAATGTCAATACATTGTATTTCCCTTTCAAAAGAAGTGATAAGTAAATCAGTCTTTGTATTTGGAAGTTTGATAGAAACATTTGTCATATCACACACCAGAAATTTAAATTTCATGAGCCCTCAAATGCTAGTTTGTTAATAACAATCCAACAAACTCAGACAATTGAGATAAACCTTACATAAGTAATCACACAGATTCTTGAGTCAAACAGATCTTCCTTTCAGTTGTAATTCTATTTACATGCCTGTAACTGTGAACCATTTACCTCAATCTTACTCTTAATTCTATTATCTTTAAAATGTGGATAACAGTAGCATACTGAAATCAACTCAACAGCATCTATTGAATTCAATTATTGGAGTAATAAATGACACAGTTTATGTGAAGCAGTTTGAACAATGCCTGATGCAGAGTAAAAGCTCACAAAATGATAGTTAAAAACAAGATGAGGTAAAGATGCATATATTTCCCATGGTTAAAATTTCAACACCAAAAAACATAAATTTGAGTGTTAAGTATTCTATATTAAATTAAGTATGAAATAGTTTAAGTAGGAAATGCCACAGAATGCTATCACATTCACCAAAAGTAATTTTTACAAGAAATAAAACAGCAACAACAAAGCCCAAAAATGAAAAATTAAAACAAAGAACAACAAAAACCCATACCATAAGTTAAATATGCATTTTCAACTTAAATTTCAATAAGCTTTTTAAAGTTATACAGAAACTTATACAGTTTTAAGGAAAAGATGGCTCTGTTCTCTATGTTTTAACTTAATTTTTAAGAGTAGTTGTTCTTGTGCTTTGGCAACTTGAAGGAGCTTTGAAAGTTAAGGATAAAGCACAAATATTTAAGACAAAGAAAAAATTTGCAGGTAATTGCAGACTCTATTAAAGTCTTAATTAAAGGGCACTAGGAAAGCGAATTAGCACATCTGAGATTTTAATCAAACTGCTATTTCAACCAATTTATTAATTGACTCCAGGATTAGGCTGTAATGTGCACTGTTAAGATTATGTTCGTGATCTGAAAACGCTATAACTATATCTCACTATTCTTATCTCAGGAATAACTAAGTTGAAATGTGCATTTAAAAGAGATCTCCTAGTTTTATAGGGCTGCTTATAGATCTTGCAAGAATATTGATCATTCTATGCCTACAATAGCTAAAAACTAATATATGTACATATATATGTATATAATTTGGAATTCAACATTCACTTGTTTAGTGGCTGAATGCTTACAGATATTTGGATTCATCTAAAGACAAAAGGCACATTCTTTAAAAAATATTTTTTAATGTTTATTTATATTTGAGAGACAGAGAGAGACAGAGCATGAGAGGGGGAGGGACAGAGAGAAAGGGAGACACAGAATCTGAAGCAGGCTCCAGGCTCTGAGCTGTCAGCACAGAGCCCAATGCAGGGCTTGAATTCACAGACCATGAGATCGTGACCTGAGCAGAAGTCAAAGGCTTAACCAACAGAGCCATCGAGGTGCTCCAAAAGGCACATTCTTGATTTACAAGACTTACAAGTCTAACAAGACTTACAGCAAATGGTCTTTAATACAACATAGCGCTTATAGTTAACAATACATTATGGCGGATTTCAAAATTTGTTACAAGATTTCATGTTATGTTTTCATACCAGAAACATAAAATAGCAAAGTGACATAAAGAAACTTCTGAAAGGGATGGATATATTTATTACTTTGCTTGTGGTTATGGTATCATTGGTGTATTCATATGTCCAGACTCATCAAATTGATTACATTAGATATGCACATTTTTTTGGTGTGGATGTCAATCAGACCTCAACAAAACTATAAAAAATAACGTTAAAATACTGTATTTCTGCATTCTTGGCAGGAATAGAAAAAAATATTACATAGATAAAAATACAATTCATTTTTAAAAATCTTAAAGATAATTGTAGTAAAACCAAAAGGCATTTTCAAACTATACACAACAATCCTATAAATTCCAATTTCAATATAGGGCCGTGTCTTTTTCTGCTTGGGTTACTATAACAAAATATAATATGTCACATCATTTATCAACAATACACATTTGTTTCTCACAGTTCTATCTATATAGGCTGCAAAGTCCAAGATCAAGGCACTGGCAGATTCAGTGTCTGGTGAGGGCTTCTTCCTATCTGTTCCTCTTTTGGTGATAATCTCATGTGGCAGAAAGGATGAAGGATCTTGCTGGAGTTTCTTTTATAAAGGCACTAATCCCCGGTCATCCTCACGTGACCTAATCATCTTTCAAAAGTGTCACTTCAGGGTACCATCATTTTGAAGATTAGGTCACAACATAGAAATTTTGAGAGAATACATTCAGTCTATAGTGGGCTTATCTTATCCTGAAGTTTTCAATCAATAGATTACCCTTCTGTATTTTTTGACATACAATAAAAGTGAAGAAATAGAACTTCACATAGTCTTCTACATGCACATGTATTATAATAAAGTTATTATCTGCTTCAGAGTGAAATGAACTCCCTTCTACTGTAAACAGGTTATGTGTTACTCTGCTTGAAGCCAAAGGGAGCAACCTGAATTCACTTACAATTTTTTTTCTCTCAGGTGATTTTTAACACCTGCTTATGTTCTTATCTCACTAGATAAATAAGAAAATACTCCTTTAAACATAGTGTTTTTGAATTCATGATGTGTTTTAAAGTCTTTGGAAAACACAAGCAAAAGGCAATTATAAATTTTCCAGTGGCTAGGCTTTCTCAGCTTTAACAAGAGTAGCACCAGCTCAGATGTCTCTAGTTGTTAGTGAGATTAACCAGTGTGGTCTATTGTAAGAGCAGATTTTTTTTTTTTTTCATTTAGGGGTGATTAAACATAAAGATTTTGACATTGATGAATAAGTGTATTAATCATGCCTCTTTGTTTTTTGTATTTCTGAAGCTTTGACATCTGGGGCTTTGTTGTCCCTGGGCAGATTGTTTCCCTTAGGGCTAACCAATTCCTAGAGATCATAAAGGACTCACCCGTAAGGGTGTCCTTTCTTTTTTTAAATATTTATTTAATTTAATTAATTTTTTTTTTCATTTTATATTTGAGAGAGAGACAGAAAGCGAGCAGGGAGGTGCAGAGACAGAGACAGAATC